AACAGAAGCATGGACTCCAAGTAAACGTGGTGACATTTTGGAATGCCACCCATTACGAGGCAGTGTGTGTTAGAGGCATCTGTGGTACTGTATCCCCCGTTGGAAGACTACATGGGTGCAGAAACAATGTGTAGTCACACTTTCTATCATTCTCTATGAGTCACTGGGTCACTGAGTTATTCCTGTGGGTTAACAGGAGGTGGTTTGCACACTGACATGTCAGAGTATGAATGAAACCCAGGTGATCTACTTGGGCATCTCCCAGTACTCCTTTGACCCGCTGACTCATTTAACAACCTACTTTGAAAAGACAGGGTTTACTAGTGGTTCAAGCCCCTTAGTATGAAGATTTTCATCCTACTACCAGCTAATAACTAGCCCTCCGCCAAGGTCCTAGCTGAGGGCTATGAAAATTTAGATAATAACCTTCTTCCACACCTAGTATTTTTTATTTTTTCTGAAAATGGAGGCCATTTATTTCATTACTCAATAAAATTTATATAGTAGATGTGGAAGAAGGTTATTTTTTTTTTCCAAAATGGAGGACCGTTTATTTCATTACTCAATCAAAACATTCCATGAAAGACTGCCTTATGGAATTTCAAATGCTTCACTAATGCATATGGGGGTGGGAGGGAAGCTCTACTACCCCGTGCCACAAAACTATTTGATATAACTAATGACATGCAAACACATTTGCAAAAGCAGAGCATTATCACAATATGATATTTTAAAAATTGACTGAGTAAATAGATTCCCTATCTTTAAAAAGAGAAAAAAGTTACACTGCGTTGAGCATAGGAAATATGGGCAACGTCTACAAACCTTCTCATTTACAGGTAGGAACAAAGGTCCAGAGACTTTAAGCCACTCATCCAAGTTCACTGAGCAAAGAGAATCTGCATTTGCTATTTTGGAATAAGTTGTCTCCTTTCAAATGTTTTTTTAAAATGGATATCACATACTTTTTGTTTGTACAGAACAGTCATAAAATAGTTGCTCTTTAACTGTATCCATCACTATTTATCCACTTATTTTTCTGTCATAATGCTATCATTTTTTTTCTTTGTATATTCACCTATTGCACTGAAAGGCTCTGCTGGATTTGAAAACTACAGATTCAGAAACATGGCACAAAGGTGCAATTCACAAACCACAATTTTTTAAAAGAATTAAGTATTCATGCCAAATCAAAATAGCCACCCACCAGTGTCCAACACACGTTTATATTTCATTACGAAGACAATCACAAAGTATCTACCAAAATGTCTCTTTTCTCTCTTTAAGTCACCTTTGCTTTCAACATGTACCTGTTTGCAAATATTTAGCATTCACAGTACAACTGAATTAGTTACATTCATAACGGCCACAATTGTTATTCTGTGTTCAAGACTCTCCAGAATCTTAATTGCCTAAAATGAGGTAGATAAACTTTTAAGTTTGTTGGTTGGGATTAATTTCCTTTAGATCTTGATCATCTATTTTTTAAACAGAATTCCAAAATATTTAGCAAAAAACTGAAAATGTCTGAGCACTTTGCTAAAAGTGGAAAAATATAATTTCAAAAGGTTATGAAAGTTGCTTTACCTCATTTCAATTTAAAAACAGAATAAAAGCATCAAATTATAAAACCACCACATATCTTAAAGCTACAACCTAACATCTTTCAACATTTAAAGAGACCCTTGCTCTAGTTCTGGCTTGGCATTGTGTAGATGCAGAGGCATCAGTTAACCATTTGGGGCCAGACCAGCTGCTGGCCCTTAACCTTTGACCCTGGATTTCAAGTTTCCTCCAGCGTTCAGGGCTGTCTCCTGGAGTTCTTTATAGCAGGCTCTCAATGAGTTCTCAAATACCATCTCTGGAGATGGGTCATGTTTCAGGGACAAGCTGGAAATGGTGGCCCCTCTGGGTAAAACAGGCTACAGTGGGCAAAGCTGGAAACAGAATGAGGCTGCAGGCATTGATTGGGCTGCAGTGTTGGGCAGACTTTGACAGCGAGGAACAGGGCATGACAGATCAACCCGGGTGGTAGCTCCAGGCACCTTCAGGTGGTTGGGGGCAAACTGGGCACTAGACCAGCTAAAGGCCCTGGCGTAGGTTGACGAGAGATTTCTGAGAAGGCTGGCAGATCACCGCAGATCTTTGTCTTTTTATGTGGAGCCATGGGCGAGGCGCTCAAGAAAATGTGGAAGGAGCTTGAGTTCTTCAAGCCCCGGGCCAGGTCCTGGAGCATGAGGTCGTCGGCCAGGATGCCTAGAAATGTACTGGTGGTGGAACTGAGGATGGTGGCCGGAACTGAGGATGGTGGCAGCCACCCGCACCGGGCGCCTGGCAGCAAGACTGCCACTTCCACCACCGTACGCATCTAGCTCCGTGGTGCCTGGCAGGCCTGGATCACCAAATAGGCGGCGCAGCACGTACGAAGAGCCAGGCCCCAGGTACTGGTAGGC